GGGGTGATATAACGATGCACCCATGCACCCCTGATTCCCAGCAGGCGATCGCTGGAGGCTGCCGCCCGGCATAAGAACCGCCGGGCAAGGGCAGGGCGCTGAGCGCCACATTTTTAAAACATTAAAAACGAAGCCGTACGGTTGAGCTTCGAAATAACGGAGCGCGCCGAAAACGGCCGACGAAACCCGAACGATCGGGTTAAGTCCCCTCGCGCCCGGCTCCACCGCGCGCCACGAACGGAGCCGGCACGTTTTGCGGCCGCTCGACGGGGGTAAAGTTGTTTTTACGCCGGCGCGGGCTAATTAGTCCCGTATAAAAAGGGCCTGTCGAGCAGAGAAGAGACACTCTTTTCCGAGTTTCTCCAGCGCACCAGTCGCCAGAGCAAACTCACACCAGACGCCAAAACAGCAAAATCCGCGGTGGGGAGTACCCCGCCACGCCTGGGAATTCTCAGGATTTGCGAAGGCACAATCCTTCCAAGAAGTGCATTCAGAAATTGGGGCGTTCCCCGATCTCTCCGGGAGTTCTCGGCAAACGCACGAAACCCGCTCCCGTCACCTTTCCGACCAGTGCATCCGGAGGTAGAGAGGAGAGCTACCCCCGGCGGGACGTTCTCGCTAGCACGGTCTTCCCGAAGGGAAATCCCGTCGTCTCATTTCCCGAAAATACGCGGCCTTACGGGCAACCTCGTATCGCACGGAAAAGAAGCGGTAGAAAAACGCCGGCACGCGCCGTGACGTCACGCATCAATCGATCGACGATTAAACCGCGGATCAAGTTAAACTCGTTATTACTCGCGAACGCGGCGTTGCATCGACGCCTGGTCTTCACGACCCGCTGCGCGAACTCGTGGTGCATCCGACCGTGCAACCTCAAGCATAAGCCCCGACTGCAACCCCGCGAAAACGCGTTGCAACTATTAGCGCATTTCCGACACGAGCCGCGAGCCCGCGAACGAACGCCCGCGGCATATCTCGAACGCATCAAGTTCTTGCGATACCGACACAAACACAACTGTATATACGCGCCGAGCTCTCTTTTGCGATAATTACGCGCCCACGCACGCAACTGTATCTGTATCAACTTTTTTTAAAATATACTTTCTTTGTTATTGTATTAATCGAACCCCGCATTGCACTTATTTTTCACGCCTGCCTAATCGAACCCGATCACCACGACTGCCGCTATCCGCGGAAATAAGCCCGTTACAACTTTTTTTAAAATGGAGGCTGTTTCTATAGAAGAGAAGATAGAAATGATTCTTGTTTATGGTGAATGTGTAGAAATGTTGACGATGCCGTTACACTTTATGCTGAACGTTTTCCGGATAACGTGCGATCTCGAGCATCTTTTTATCGGGTTGTTACACAATTTCTACAAGAGGGAAGTGTGTCTAAGAGAAAAAGAGCCCGTCGAAACCTAGTTACTGGAACTGACAATGAAATTGCTGTATTAGCTGCAGTAAATGTTGACCCTCATGTCAGTACTCGACAAATTGCACGCGATTCTGGAATTTCGCGACGTAGTGTAGGCAGGATATTAAAACGTTATAAATATTATCCCTATTACATTTCGTTGCACCAAGAACTTCATGATAATGATTTTCAGAACTGAGTTATCTTTTGTCAATGGGCATGTCAACAAATACAACAAGATCCTAATTTCTTTGCTAAAATCCTATTTTCAGACGAGTCCTCTTTTACGAACCACGGCACGGTTAATAGACATAACATGCACTACTGGAGTATTCAAAATCCACATTGGTTACGTGAAGTTGAGCATCAGCGTCAATGGTCTGTGAACGTTTGGTGTGGAATAGTTGGTGACAAGATAGTAGGTCCATACTTCATTGAAGGCAATTTAAATGGCGAAACATATCGTAATTTTTTACAAAATCAACTTCCGCTTTTACTTGAGGACGTACTCTTAAATGTAAGACAACAAATGTGGTTTCAACACGATGGATGTCCATCGCATTACTCCCGAACTGCTCGTGAAGTTTTGGATCGCGAATTCAATGGACGCTGGATCGGTAGAGGGGGTCCAGTAAATTGGCCAGCAAGATCTCCAGACCTTACGTCTCCAGACTTTTATTTATGGGGTTACATAAAGAGCGAAGTTTACAAAGAAGTGCCAACATCTCGTGAAAATATGATGCAACGAATCCAAAATGCTTGTGCCAAAATATCACCTGATGTACTCCGCAGTTGTGTACGATCTATGGAAGTTCGGATCAATAAGTGCATTGAAGTCGAAGGTCGCCAATTTGAGCACTATTAAATTAAATTAATTTCAAACAGATAAGACAATCATACCAAATTGTGAGAGGCAAGGGGACTCATCTAAAACAAGCACCCCAAAGGGGATAAAAAACTACTACGTCCACGTCGTTATTCCTGGGTAGTGCTAAAAGTAGTTAATAGTTGTACAGTTTTTCAACCTTAAAGTTAAAAAAGGGATTCCAATAAGGTACTCCGTTATCTCAAGATTTTTGTGTTTTTTTTGTTTTTTATGGCCAAAATATGGGTTAAATCGAAAAAATAATAAGAACAAAAAGTATTTTTTTTTCGATTTCCAATCGAAATCCGCGGCAAAAAATGGGTGTTTCCATTTAAAAAAACGAATTCTGATCAAAAAACGCCACTTCCGGTCTAGGCCGGAAGTTGTAATATGGACCTTTCGATAGCCTCTTTAATGCCCTACAACTTTTGTCTAAAACTTTTTTCAAAATAATCGACTCCAATCGAGATATTATCTTGTCTCAAGATAAATGCCCCACCCTGTATATATACACGGTGGGCCATTTTAATCGATGCACTCGAATATCTCGAAAACAGCACTCTTCAGAAAGAAATGTTTCAAACAAAAATTGTAAGGTGTGAAGGGGGACATAAGATGGTAGCATTGGTTTGACCTTGGAAAGTCATTTGAAGGTCACATAAAAGTCACCTTCAATTTCTTAAATTGAACCCACTATTTTTCATTACATATTCTTGTAGCTTATCTCGAGAGCTTTCCAAAACACTACAGACAAATGTTTTTTCATTAAGTACTTTTTGAGTTATAAGGCTTCAAAGTTTGCAGTACTTCGATATAAAATGCAAAATAAATATCTCGTAAAATATTTAGTTTTCGGTAGTCTTACCCTAATACTTTTATGCACAGGATAATGAGACAAAACTATTGGTGCAAAGAAAACGTATGATTGTTTATAATAAAAAATGTGTAATTTGCAATGCACTTTTTGTTATAAACAATCATACGTTTTTTTCCCACCAATAGTTTTGTCTCATTATCCTGTGCATAAAAGTATTAGGCTAAGACTACCGAAAACTAAATATTTTACGAGATATTTTGCATTTTATATCGAAATACTGCAAACTTTGAAGCCTTATAACTTAAAAAGTACTTAATGAAAAAACATTTGTCTGTAGTGTTTGGAAAGCTCTCGAGATAAGCTACAAGAATATGTAATGAAAAATAGTGGGTTCAATTTAAGAAATTGAAGGTGACTTTTATGTGATCTTCAAATGACTTTCCAAGGTCAAACCAATGCTACCATCTTATGTCCCCCTTCACACCCTACAATTTTTGTTTGAAACATTTCTTTCTGAAGAGTGCTGTTTTCGAGATATTCGAGTGCATCGATTAAAATGGCCCACCGTGTATATATATACAGGGTGTTCTCGGATTAAATGTCCCAAACTTAAAATATAAATTTGGGACTTCAAAACAAGCAAAAATTTCCTCTGGAAGTTTGCTCGCAAACACTTCGTTCAAAAGATATCGACTTGTTAAGTTACAGAACGATAGGAATTAATAATATCGAAATAATTTAGGTTTATCTTTTTTATTGCTTTTTTTATTGCTTTACAATAACCAAAATTTATAATTATTAAATATTTTGTTCAAAATGATAGCCTCCAGCTTGGAGACATATGCATATTGTATTACTTTACTCCACGAAAGTATTCAATGAACTAACAATTATTTGGTACACTGCGCGAAATCGATTCTGTTTGTAAAAAACAGAAGAGCTATGAATGAACTTCAATCTTCAAAACAAAGACAAAACAGAAATATTTCGGTATTATTCATTCCTATGGTTTTATAACTTAACAAGTTGATATCTCTTGAACGAAGCGTTTGCGAGCAAACTTTTAGAGGAAATTTTTGCTTGTTTTGAGGTCCCAAATTTGTATTTTAAGTTTAGCCATTTAACCCGGGAGCACCCTGTATATTAATAAAGTATTATAATAAAAAAAAATTTTGTCTCTAATATTAATTTTATTTAAATTAAAACACTGTAAAATAGTAATTATATACATATGTACATCAAATATGGCGTCCAATGTTATATATATGGACGCCATTTTGATATTTAATTCCATTTTACCAGGGAACATATCTCAGAGGGCGCCACAAATGCTGGTCACATAAAATTACATAGAAGTTTAGTGGCCCTGCGATCGATTCGAATAAGGTGGTTATAAAACTGGACAGTAAAACTCCGAATATGCAACAATCGAAGAGAGAGTAGCGTCGCGACGAATCTTTTTTGTAAAAAAAATAGAGCGATATGAGCGTTGCGAAACGAAGACTCGTAAACGAACTCACGCACCTGCGAGAAAGAACTTTCCTCGCCGCCGCGTTGCGCTGCGTGGATACGACGATCTGTGGCAAGCGGACGTCGTCTAGATGCTCTCTTACGCAGGCACAACAGAGATCACAATTACATACTCACCGTCATCGACGCCTTAAGCAAGTATGCGTGGGTGGTACTGCTCAAGAGAAAGAACAGCAACGAAGTCGCTCGAGCCTTGTCGAGCGTAGCGCGCGCCTCCGGACGATGTCCGAGAAATCTGCAAACTGACAAAGAGAGTTCTACAATGCCGAGGTGCGCGGATTCATCGATAAACGCGGAATCAATCACTACTCGACGTATTCGGTGCTAAAAGCGTCGATCATCGAGCATTTCAATTGCATGCTCAAGAACTCGATGTGGAAGTACTTCACGCTGAACGGAATGTACAAGTGGATCGACGCGCTGTCGCTTTTAATATCCAAGTACAACGCTCGCAAGCATCGGACCATCGAGATGCGTCCGATCGACGTGACACTCGCTCGAGCGTTGAGACTCCTGTCGATGGTGTACAGCCACCCGAAGATCGCCGCTCCGGGAAAATTTCGGCCGAACGATCTCGTACGCCTGAGCAAGTACAAGACGCTGTTCGAGAAGGCGTACACGCCGAATTGGACCGCGGAGATCTTCCGCGTAGCCGAGGTGCGAAGGACGAGTCCTGTGACGTATCTGCTGACGGATTCACGCGGCGAGCCGATAGCTGGAGGATTCTACGAGCACGAGTTACAGCGAGTCTCCGATCCCGACGTGTATCTCGTGGAGAGAGTGCTGCGACAAAAGGGCGACATGGTTTTCGTGAAGTGGCTGGGAATGGACAAGTCACATAAATTCATGGATTAATAAAGCCAACATATTGTAACACATTGTAACGAATATATAATTTTGTGTGTAATATTAAAGATAAAAAAATCCTCTCCGACGCGTGCCACCTTGACGTGATGGAGAGGCTTAGGCCGTCCTGGGTCTCCAGGCTCCCATTTCGGCGCTTTGCGTCGGGGAGGTCCGGGGGCCCTTAGTGACCAAGAGCACGCATTGCACTTCTCTCCCCAGAAGGGGAGGAAGGGGGATTTCGCTCCCTCCGGGCGCTTTGGCCTAATGCGAATAGGGGAAGGAAAAACCTGACTACAAAACCCGGCTCATGGGAGTCGAGAAGGGTGGAAGAACATCCGTTCCCGTTAAGTTACTCTGTGTACTTAGGTTAGTTCTTCCCCCTTCCCCCTAACCCTAACCCTAATTTTTCTTCTGTAGATTTTCTGCTTCCTTTCACTCCTTTCCTTAATTATTCCTCTCTTTTTTTCTACCATTTCCTTCCGTGTGTGTGTGTGTGTGTGTGTGTGCGCGCGCGCGCGCGTGCGATGTGTGTGTGAGTGGGGTTCGCGTCTCTCCCTGTATTACTGGGGAGGGGTGCGAATTTCCGCTTTTGTGCCGCCGGGCAGTAGAAGTCTTCGGGCGTTTTGTGTGCACTTAATTAAGTGTGCACATAGAGTATGATGCTGAAGGGAAAAAAGCATCTTTACGGGTGTCGTAGTCACGCCTTTAAAGTCTGGTGAATGCCGACGAGTTGGGACGGGGGTAGAGATGCCCTAAAGCTGTGACACGGCTGGGGACGAGTGTGGAGGTTCCGCAAGCATCACGGGTATACCTGACTGGAGGCAGAGAAATCATGTCTTAGACCTCTGATTCCCGACCCTGAAAGATCAGGGGATTCCGCCTAACGGCAGTTTCACGGTTATGTGAAACGGTTCTTGGAGGTGCCGGTTTCGTACCGGTTTTGTACCGGGTACACTTCCGGGACGCCTGCACATCGAGGGTCTCTCTCTGCTCTCCCCTTAAAAAGAGAGTAGATCGCAATGGGCCTGAATGGCTCAATGCGCACCCGGGTAGGTCATTTCAGCAAGCGAGCATAGTTTGTTAATGAAGGGTGATACCTCACCTTCCGGAAATTCGGAGGCACATTTACTTCGAATCACGGATACCGTCGAATGGCGCGGTCATATCGGATGACGGGTTGCTATCTTGTAGAACCCTGAGGCCGATATTGCTGCAACAGATGTCTGCATTCCTCCTGTATGAAAAAGCGGATGCAGGGACACGGGTAGGAGGGGACATTAGGGGAACGGAATTACACCTCTACACGGTAGAGTTTCTCTATCCTGTGGAATCCCGAACCCGCGTCCATAGGGGTGCGACCTCCCCCTTGTTTAAAACTCGGATGTGTTGGGCTTACAGTGTATCTCACGGAAGATCACCGCAGCGTAGTCCTTTCCGATGGGAAACTCGGGTAGGAAACCCACCTTTGCGGCGAAAGCGGAAGATGAAGTGAGGGGTGGTGCATCACCCTCCGGAAAACCGGATGCACATTTACCTCGAGTCACGGATGCCGTCGAGTGGCGCGGTCATGTCAAGTGACGGGTTATGTAACCCCGAGGCTGACATGGCCAGCAACAGGAGTCTGCATTCCTCCTCGTATAAAAAGGCGAATACAGGGACGGAAGTGGCTCATTGGCGCACAGTACAATTGGACACGTTGTAATTGCGCACCGTGCTATTAGACACATAAGATTGCGCACCGTTCGATTGGACACGTTAAATTTACTCATCGTTCAATTGGACACAGTTCTTTTGCGCACTGTTCGATTGGACACGCGAAAGAACTGTGCGCAAGAGAACTGTGGGCAAAAGAACTGTGCGCAAAAGAACTGTGTCCAATTGAACGGGGGGCAAATGTAACGTGTCCAATTGAACGATGCGCAATTGCAACGTGTCCAATTGTACTGTGCGCCAATAAAGACTTCTCTAGTGGTGACCCTGAAAAGGGCCGTTTCTATGAGAGCCTAAATGCTCTCTTGATAAGTAATCGTTGCGCCTTAATAACTCGTAGGGCCTCCAGTATGCTGAATTGTTGTTCTCGTCCATGTTGTTCTGGGTCCTGTTTGGGCGCCTCTGTCTGACTTGCGACGGATGATGTAGTTGGTTCCCAGTTGCTGTCTGATTGGATATTCTGATCGAGACAGAGAGGCTGCACCTGGATTCCCCTATGGACTCCCTGTAGCTGAGTCTGTATAGTCCTATTGGTCGATGCCTTAGCTGACGGTGGCAGTGGCGACAGCACTGCTGGACGCTCCAGGGACCAGTAGGTGTACTGTCGTACCTTGATGAATATATACACACATAAGAGCAGAGGAATAGAAATAAATATACATATGTATTTATACGTTTCAACAATGAGTTCAGGAGTTTACGAATTTTTTCCTCAGAAACAATGCATCTAACACGAAAATTGATCGGAAATATTTTCATTTGCAAATTTTATGTATTGGGTCGTGAAGTATGAAATGGAGCAAAATTTTGATAAATAAAACTCGATTCTTTTTAAATAAAAACTTTGTATTTTTAATCAAAGTATGCACCCAGGTTATCGACACACTTTTGCCATTTCAACGGTAGCTCATTTATCCCTTTGCTGTAGAAGCCTGGCTCACGGGAGTCGATGAACTGTTGGAAGGCCGTTTTCACAGCCTCTGCGGAATTGAATTTTTTTCCCAACAAGAAGTTGTCCAAATTTCGAAAGAAGTGGTAGTCAGTGGGTGCAAGGTCTGGCGAATATGGTGGGTGACGGAGAGTCTCTAACTCCAACTGCTGTAGCTTTGCCACGGTCGTTCGTGCGGTGTGAGGTCGAGCGTTGTCGTGCAAGAGGATGGGAGCTGATCGATTGACCAATCTCGGCTGTTTAATCGCAAGATTTTGCATCATATCGTCTAGTTGGTTGCAGTAGACATCCGCCACGATCGATCTGCCAGGTTCCATGAAGCTATGGTGGATGACACCTGAGCCAGACCACCAAACAGTCACCATCAGCTTCTTCTGGTGGATGCCTCGTTTGGAGCAGTGTTTTGGTGGTTCATCTCGGTCCAACCACTGTGATGGACGCTTGCGATTGTCGTACATGATCCATTTTTCATCGCAGGTAACAATTCGATGGAGAAATGGTTCGGTTTTGTTGCGAGACAAAAGAGAAAGACATGCTTCAAGTCGCCGTTGCTTTTGTGCATCGTTTAATTCGTGCGGCACCCACTTGTCCAGCTTTTTCACTTGCCGATTTGCGCCAAGTGAGTCAGGATTGTTTTCTTCGATACACCGAAAGTCAGTGCTAATTCACGTGCACTTTGGCTGGGATCCGCTTCCACGGTGGCTTTCAGGACATCATTATCCACCTGAGTTTCAGGTCGACCACGCGGTTCATTGGACAGGTCAAAATTTCCAGAACGAAATCTTTTGAACCAACGAGCTACTGTCGCGTTCGTAGCGACTTGGGTAGGGAACACACTGTTGATATTGTCGACTGCCTGCCGTGTTGTGGTTCCACGGTGGAACTCATATTTCATCAAAACACGAATTTCTCTGTTTTCCATGACCTCATTAGATCATTTGCTGACAAAAAACTATTCAATATTTTTCAATTATCAAAAATAATTCTGAAAGAGGAAAGACGTACCTTTATAACAACAAGTAGTTTGTATCAAAACAATGCTCCAAAGTGAAGTTATACGCGATTGAAATCAAAGATATTAAGTTTGCTCCATTTCATACTTCACGACCCAATAGAATATAACAGTATTTTTTTCATCCATGAATTTTGATTTTTTTCAATTTACATCTGCCATATTGGATCCACCATCTTGAATTTGGAAAATCCGTCACTAGATTTGGATTTAGAAGTCATCAAAATATGAAACTACGTTCAGAATTGCTTGTTACAGGATTCTTGTGCGTGTAATAAAAAAAAATCTATAATTTTTATGATTTTGAAGCCGCCATATTGGATCCGCCATCTTTGAGGATATCCAATTTGTTGGTGCATGTTCGGTAGGGTACTGTTTATTGAAAAAATCCATTTTGAATGGAGAAAAATACATACTTCGTTGATTGTTAGAGAAAGATTTAAGAAAAATCTATATTTTACAGAATTTTATGCAAAATTCGCCATTTTAGAAAGGTTGCGGTGTGTGTAAGTTTGGGGAAAAAATTTTTTCTAAAACTTCAACTCTAACGTGCACCAACGTGCACAATTAGAACTGAATTTCCATATCGAAACCATTCGAAAAAAATTATGAGAAAAAATATTTTCAATTTTTCGGTACCTTTTCACTTAAAATCCGTCATATTGTTCTTCTGGAGGATGAAAATGAAATTTTGACCACGCCAATCGAAAGAGCGCACCTGATTTTAAAAGGAAACATGGTTTTGATTAAAGAATTCCTCGTCACTCCTATTGAGAATAATGCTCAAAGATAAGCAAAAAATCATGGGTTTCTGGTCGTTAATGGGTTAACTAATATTATTCACAATATAGGAATGGATTCATTTTATACAATATATTGGTTAAAATATCAGCTTGATACTTATCGGCAATATACAATTACGAAGCCCGTTTCTATAGCTATTGATGCTACTGGCAGCATCATTAAAAAAATAATTCATCACGATAAATCGCGCTCAAAACACATTTCTTTATACTTGCATGGTTAATTCATCTAAGGAAAAATATCCGATTACGCAAATGTTAAGTGAATCGCATACCACAATAGCGATTTGGATGTGGTTAATACAATGGATTCAAAGCGGTGCTTCTTTTCCGCATGAAGTAACTTGTGATGTATCAACAGCCTTACTTACTGCTGTCATTCAAGCGTTCACTAATTATAATATTGATGATTATGCCGATAATATGGGAAGACAGAGAAACATCTTATTGTTATGTAGGTGTTGCCAATTTTATAAAAAAAATACGCAAATTTTTAAAAATTGCACGGTTACGCAAAAAAGTATTTTATCTGGCA